CCCCAAAACCCCAAAACCCCAAAACCCCATCTGGAAAATTAATTGCATAATCAGCTGATAATTAAATCCCAAAATATTAAAGAAATCAAAATAATTAGAATGAAGTAAATCAAATTCACTGCTTTTTATTAACATCTGGAGCATAGCTAAAACTAATTCTGCAATTTTCATAATAATCTCCGAAACTCATTCCATCTTTCCATCTCTCCTCGAGAGGACTCAGTTTATGCTCCTTATCTTATTTCGTCAATACCCTGTCCATGTTGGTACCTACTGGAACACTAAGTGGCTCATTGTACTCAGGCTCCATAAATACTGCTAATGAGATTCTGGGCATATCAAAGTTTTAGACGGGCATTTTAACTGCATGAGGAAGTGCTTATAATAATCCACCAGAGACTATCTGTGATAGTTCTCCTAGTTAGAAGCACATGCAATCCTCTGGGATGTTAAGCTTCAAAATCTCATAATCTCTTTTTTGAATGTACAGACCAGCCTCTGGGTCACCATTTGAATGTTTCACATTATCTTAGGAATCTACATACACACCTGGAGCTAAACCTGTGATATATGAATAATCCTTATGCCAACTGCACCAATTCTTAGGCAGATCACTGTTATGTTTATTCTTTGGAGCAGCATAATAGATAGATCTAGCTGATATTCTGGGTGACTTTGCAATGCCCTACTCTATTTGCATTTTATAGTTCTTGACATTATACTTTAAGTAATCATCCAATTTCTTGCCAAGCATGATAGCTGTATCAATGAATTGTCTGCCAGTTGACATGTAATATTTTTCAAATTCAGGGGCAATTTCTTTGTCTTTAGGCCATACATTCTTCCAAATTAAACCTTTGTGATCAGTATAGCTTTCTTGTATGATGTTGGCGTAGAAAGATATCTGGAGAGTATCCCCACCCTCAAGGTAGCCGTCCTTGCCTAAGTTCAATCCATGCCCATACTCCAAGTGTGGCTACTCGAGATAACTGAGATCACCCTTATACTCTGATATTTATCTCATTTGCTTAGCAAGATTTAAGTAGTTTTACATGTATCTCTGCTTACTCTCCCCACTATTTCTAACTAGCAGCACTCCAAGACCCTTGTCGGAGTATGCCTCTTCGATCTGCTCAAATATATTGGTATCTTATCTCTTGAGATCATTCAGATCTATTATCACTGGCTGCTGCTTATGCCCTGGGACTACGCTAGATGAGAATGCGAAAGATCCTTTAAATATTTATGGAGAATTTTAGTGATTCTTTAACAAAAGTTTAGACAATGCCTTCATTATAAATTATTATAAATTATTCTATTTAATTTCACATGACTATTTATGAAAACATAATCCAATCAAAATATTCTGCCGAATGGGGTTTTGGGGTTTTGGGG